GGGGCCCACCCCACTCTGCTATGACCTCATCTTAACTGATTACATCAGCAACAACCTTATTTCCAAATAAGGTCACATTCTGAGTCCTGGGAGTTAAGACTTCAACATGTCTCTTTCTCTCTCTCTTTTTTAGGTAGGGGGACACAATTCAGCCCTTAACGGGAGCTCTTTATATATTAGCGTCATCAGCCCTTGGATTGCAATGATTATATCTGCAATTGCAGCTCCGTGGTGAAACTTGAGCTGTGAAGTGCTAGAGATGGGGAAACCTTTCCTCTTTGCACAAACGCAGCAAAGTTTTCCTTCTCTGGATCCCCTCTTCTCCCCAGGTCTCCCCTAACCCCATGAAGCCAGAGAGAGGCATGCCAAAGGGGAGTGGTAGAAGACGGGATGGAAAGAGGCTGGGGGCTTCTAGCTCCTGGTCCTGTCCCCCCCCGGGGGGCAGCAACCCTCAGCTGGGTAGTTATGAGCGTGGACGGTAGAGCCGGAACCTTGGGTCCAAATCCTGACTCTATACTTACAAGTCATCATAGGCAAGTGACTCATTCTCTGTATTACCTTCCTTTTGTTGCTGTAACAAATTACCACAAATGTGGTGACTTGAAACACCAGAAATTTATTCTCTGACAGCACTGGAGGTCAGAAATCTGAAATGAGTCTTAAGGGGCCCAAATCAAGGTGTTAGCAGGGCAGGGCTCTCCGGGAGACCCTAGGGGTCCAGTGGTCCAAGAGGCACGCTCCTTGCCCGCCTTTGTTCTGGGCTCCTTTCTGCATCTTCCAAGCCGGCAGCAAAGCATCTTCTCTCTGCCCCTGCTTTCCAATGCTTCCATCTATTGTTAAATGTCCACCTGCCTCCCTCTGAGAAGGACACTTGCGATTACATTTAGGGCCCACCTGGATCATCAGGATAATCTCCCCTTCCTAAGATCCATGACTTAATCACATCTGCAAAGACCCTTTTTTCACATAAGGTGACATTCACAGGTTCCCCGGCTCAGGACCTGGATGCCTTTGGAGGCCGTTATTCAACTGACCACACCTCTCTAAACCCCAGTTTCCTCAACTGTAACAGAATGCTGTGAGGATTCACCAAGTTATGTAGAAAAAGCGCTCAGAACGGTGCCCCGCCTAGCACTAGTGCTCAATAACATTGAGAGGGGGAGAGCCTCAGTTGAAGTGTCCTCTTTGGGCCTCAGTTTCTCCGCCTGGAAAATGGGGGAAGAGGGGCGTGGACTTCAGGGACTTCCTGGCTCTTCCACACCCTGGGGTGATTCCTCTTCTGTGCCCCATTTTTGCAGAGGGAAAGCCAAGGCTCCGAGAAGAGATGTCCTGCATCTGGGAGGTGGCCAGGGTGGGATGCGGAAGCCACATCAGTGCTGGCTGTTAGGTCCCCTGGGGGAAGGGAGGGAAAGGCTGCAGCTCACCCTCCCTTACGGGGGGGGGGGGGGTCACTTCTCAGGCAGGTGGCAAGAGGCTGAGGGAGTCCCAGCTGTGAGCTCACACCCGCACATCCACACTCACACACACACACAGCCTCTGGTCCTGTGTGTCTCTACTTTTCTCTCTTTGAAGACAATTGGGTGCCGTTCTCTCTAACTCCCTCTGTCAATCTCTCGCTCTCTGTCTCTCTGTTTCTCACTGTCTCTGTCCTTGTCTCTCAGGTGTTGTTTTGTCAGTCTCTCTCTCTCCCTCTCTGATTTCCCAAGTCAGTCTGTCTGTGGTCTCTCCTCCCCTCCTCCCATCTCTAGCTCTCTCTCTCTCACTGTCTCTCCTTCTTGTGTGTCTCTCCCTCCCTGTGTCTCCGTCTCTCTCGATCTCTCTCCCTCTCTGACTCTGCACCAGATTCTCCTCTCGTCAGCCCAGGGAAGCCCCCGAAACCTGTGGACCTCGCCCAGGCCCCGGCAGGCAGGCAGAAGTGGGCGAGGCCAAGATGAGTCACGAGGAGGAAGGAGCTGACATTCCTGCCGCATTTCTGGGGTTGCGCACGGGCCCAGCCCCCTGCCTGCGCCCCCCCGCCCCCCCCCCCGTAACACATCACCAGACCTCACAGGTGTGTGTCACTTGAGGGAGAGACAGAGAGAACAAGTCAGACAGAGACAGAGACAGTGAGAGAGAGGGACCGAGAGAGACAAAAAACAGAGAGAGAGAGAAAAGAGAGAAGCAGAGACAGACAGAAAGAGACAGGAAAAAAGATGGAGAGGCACAGAAAGAGAGAGGGACAGAGAGAGCGAGAGGCGGGGATGGAGAGAGACAAAGAGACAGGGGCAAAGAAAAAGGACAAAACAGTGCGAGAGAAAAAGACAGGGATGGAGAGACACAGAAGCGGAAATACGGACGGAGATTTCGAGAGACCAGAGCAGTCTGAGGTGGGGATGGCGGGGCTCCCTCTTTAAATAAAAGAGGAAACTGTGGCCTGGAGTAAGGTCATCCTGTAGGAAGTGGTAGCGCCAGACCACACAGCTCCGGGTGACCCCCAAACCCGAGCTTTCCTGTCCCCGAGCGACGCCACCCACCCGCCCCAGACCCACCGCACAGCTGGGAAAAGCAAGGACCAGTGGAGCGAAGCCACCCGCCCAGGGTCACTCAGCAGCAAGCAGCTGAGCTGGATCTCACGCCGGCCTGGACCAACACCCCAACTTCCTATTTCCCCCCCTCAGATGCTTTAGTGTCTCCTTCAGTTTTCATGCCAACCCCGACAGGGGCCCCGTTTTCACAGGAGGAAACTGAGGCTCGAAAAGAGGAGATGTGCTGGCGCAGGATGACCCAGCTAGGGAGCGGTCCAGTCCTACAGTTGTCAGTATGACAATCGCTGACCTCAGACTCATGACACGTCTCCACCTCCCTCCCCACCCCACTGGGAGGAAACCAGGGCCAGAGTCTAGAGTTGGGTGCGACAACAATAATAATGGCAGTTACTGGGTTTTTGTTTTTGTTTTTCTTTTTTTTTTTTTTGGTGAGGAAGATCGGCCATGAGCTAACATCCTTTGCCAATCTTCCTCTATTTTGTATGTGGGACGCTGCCACAGCATGGCTTCATGAGTGGTGTAGGTCTGCCCTTGGGATCCGACCCCGTGAACCCCAGGCCACCGCAGCAGAGTGCGTGAACTTAACCACTATGCTACCAGGCCGGCCTCCTGGCAGTTACTGTTTTTTATTGAGCACTTACTATGAGCCAGGCACTGTGGCAAAGCCCCTTGGGTGCATTCTTTCCTGTTCTAGCACACCAGCCCTGGGAGGGAGGCACTGGGTATCTCTGCTTTCCAGATAAGGAGCGTGAGGCACAGGGAGGATAAGTCACCAGACCAAAGCCACACAGCTAGTGCATAGCTGGAATCTGAACCCTCACAGTCTGGTGCCAGCCCCCACACTCTTAACCACTAGGCTATACTGCCTCTTAGGAGAGAAGATTTCTTTGGGACTTTTCTTACCTTATTTTAAAATTATTAGCTTAAGGCATCAACAAATTAATAAGAATAACAACAGTGTAATCATTATTATAATGGTAGAGGTAGCTGCTACTAACTCATTGCCTACTACTCTCTCACTTCCCGATTCTGTTCCAGCCACACTGGCCTCTCTACAGTTCCTAGATCTCATCAGGGACACTCCCACCTCAGGGCCTTTGCACTGGCTGTTTCCTCTCCGTGGAACTCTCCCCAGACCCTCTGCCCCACTTCTTCCCTTCCCACATTCAGCCTCTGCTCAGATGCCACCTGCTCAGGGAAGCCTTCTCGAATCTCCCCACCTAAAACCCACCACACCTCCGTTGTACCCTGGCATCTCCTTCCGGGTTTGTTTTCCTCCATTTTACTTATCACTGCCTGACAACAATGGATCAGATAACACATATTTACTCCCCATTGTCACAAGGTCAGGGACTTTGCTTTGTTTCCTGTGTGTACCCAGCTCCTGGACCAGTGCCCGGGACAAATTAGCTCCTCCGTAAATGCTGAAGGAATTTATTGAGCCCTCCGTGTGGATCAGCAACTGTCTCAGGCCTGTCACCTACATTTGCTCTGTTTGGTCAGAAGTATCCTGAGATGGAGAAACTATTTTATCTTCTGCATTTTATTTCACTTTTTAAAAAAACTTATTAGGGCCGGCCCGTGGCTTAGCGGTTAAGTGCGCGCACTCCGCTACTGGCAGCCCCGGGGTTCAGATCGTGGGCGTACATGGACGCACCGCTTCTCTGGCCATGCTGAGGCCGCCTCCCACATACAGCAACTAGAAGGATGTGCAACTATGACATACAACTATCTACTGGGGCTTTGGGGGAAAAAAGGAGGAGGATTGGCAATAGATGTTAGCTCAGAGCCGGTCTTCCTCAGCAAAAAGAGGAGGATTAGCACGGATGTTAGCTCAGGGCTGATCTTCCTCACAAAAAATAAAAAAATAAAAAAACTTATTAGGAACCTTTACAAACACACAGAAAAGAAAACAGAATGGTATATATATATGTTACCCTGATATAATTGATACAAATATTTTGCTATTTTGCCTTTTTTCCAAAAGTATTCTCAAGTAAATGCAGACACCAATGACATTCACCTCTAAATATTCCAGTGAGCATCTGTAAAAAATAAGAACGATTTTTCAGCATAACCACAAAACCATTGTCATAACAGCAATATCCACATTTTGGCTGAAGTAAGTTAGAGACGTTATTTCACTCCCAAATATTTCAGTGTGCATCTCTAAATGGTAAAGACATTTTTCCACATAACCACCATACCATTATCCCTCCTAACAAAACTAACAATAATCCTAGCATTATCTAATAATTGGCCACAAATTTCCCATCTGGACAAGTTTTAATCGGAGGGGTGGGGTCGCTTGCCCAAATAGCAGGAAGAGAGAAAACTGGAATTTGCACCCTGGCAGTCCGGGGACAGAGCTGTGACCACGGCCACGTGAGTCAGAGCAGAGCCGGCCCCTCTACCCCGGGCTGGCCACGCCCTGGTAAGGGAAGTTTTTGAGCAGGGGAGGTGACTGGGGGAGGAGGGGGAAGCGCCCACGCGTCTAGGGGTGACTCGCTCTTTCGCAAACCGTCTGGGAGGAGCCCCCGGGGCCACAAAACCGTCTCCTTCCCGAGGCCAGACTGAGAGGTGCAGAGAGGCCTCGGATAGGAGCCGCTGCCAGAGATGGGCCGCCTGCTGCTGCTGCCGCTGCTGCTGCTGTGGGTTCAGACCTGCATTCCAGGTAGGGGCTGGCCGGACGCCCGCGCCGGGAACTGGGTCTGATGACCGGGAAGGGGGGAGGGCAGCGGAGGGGGCTCAGATCTGATGAGGTGGGGGAGGAAGGCTCAGTCCCCAGCCCCCCCACTCAAATAGTAATTCTCCTGCCATCTGCCGCCCCACACGGCAGGGCACCCGGCACACGGTAGGCGCTCAGGAAATACTACTTGAGCGAAGGCATTGAACCACAGTCACCATTTAGGGAGTGTGCGCTTCATTCCAAGCGCTCTTCTGAGCTCCTTCCTTGCAATTTCAAACTGGACGGGCGGGACTATTTTAACCTGGTTTCACAGAGAAGGAAACTGAGGCACAGAGAGGCTAAGCAACTGGTCCGAGGTCACACAGCCAGTCCTTGAATAAGTGGGATTCTGACCCTGCGGGGGCGTTCCAGAGCGCTCTCCACTCTGTCGGATTGCCCCCAGTCCTTGAAAGACAGGAGGACAGCGCCTCATTTTGCACAAGAGAGTCAGGCCCAGCGAGGCAGAGCCAGGGGCTGGGGACCCAGGGCTCGTCCCTCGAGGACCCTTCCCTTTCACTACCCCCTAGCCGATCCCTCTCACCTCCTTTTCCCGGAGAATGTAGGGGAAAGGGTAGAAAAGCGAGAGGAAATGGAGAAGGAACGGAGTCAGGGCGGGGTGGGAGCGGGGGTTGGGGTTGGGGGGTGGTTTGGCAATGAATAACCTGGAAAGCTCTCCGGACCGCTGGAGGCCCGGAGTGAGTAATGACTCTGGAAGACTCCGAATTTGAGAATTTGCGGTGGGGCAGGGACCGCAGGGGAGCCTGGTGGGCGGGGCGAGGACTCGGGGAGGAGCTAGTGGGCGGGGAGAGAACCTCGGAGCGGATAGTGGGCGGGGATAGAACGTCGGGGAGGGGCTAGTGGGCGGGGAGAGAATCCCGGGTAAGGATTTGTGGGCGGGGCTAGAACCTCGGGGAGGGGCTAGTGGGCGGGGAGAGAACCCCGGGGAAGGATTTGTGGGCGGGGCTAGAACCTCGGGGAGGGGCTACAGTAGTTGGGGTTAGAGAGCACCCCAGGACTGGTGGGCGGGGTTAGACCTTGGAATGGACTGATGCGCGGGGAGAGAACTGCGGAGGCGGGTGGAACCTGTTGGGGGTAGTCGGGGGCGCGGGAATCGGCGGCAGAACGTAGAGATCGGCTGGAGTCGGGGAGGATAGAGGAGAGCTTGCGGGCGGCATAGAAAGGACCTTAGTGGGAGCAAGGCTAGAACGTCCCGATTGATGGCCAGGGTGGGGCTGGGACTTTCAGGATAGGCCCCGCGCGGACAGAATTAAAGGGAAGACGAGCGAGAGCGGGACTCTAGGAAGGGACTTGTGGGCGGAGACAGAACGTTGGGCTAGGGATAGACCTTCGTGGGACCCCGGGGCTGGCAGAACGTGGAGCACCAACCTGAGTGCACAGGGCCTGGAGACGTGGTCCTAGCACTGGGGCATGAGGAGGCCACAGGGAGATCCTGGCGCGCGCGATAACCACTTCTCCTCTCCTCTCCTCCCTCTTCCCCCAGCCTCCTGGGGCCTGCGGTGCATGCGCTGTGAGAAGATCGGGAATTGCCAGGTGGAAGAGTGTGCCCTCGGCCAGGGCCTCTGCAGGACCACGGTCGTACACATATGGGAAGGTGAGCTCCCCCACTCCAGCGCGACAGGGAAGGAGAGTGACCAAGAAACCTTATCTCGCCAGTAATCAGGGACAGGCAAACGAAAAAGACAAGGAGACCCGGTTTGAGGCCACTAAATTGACAAGCATTTAAAAACCTGACGATCCTGGGGTCGATGAGAATGTGGAACTGCAGACCCTGCTTTTAGGGGGGTAGACTGGTGCATCCACCGCACAGAGTGATTCGCAATATCTAGTGCAGATGAAGATTAGCATACCCTACAGCCAACAGTTCAACTCCTAGGAATATAGAAATCCCAAAGAACCTTGGCCTCATGTGTCCAGGAACACATGTACAAGAATGTTCTTAGCAGTAATGCTTGTGATAGGGCAAATTGGAAACAACCTAAAGTCAGTCATCAACAGAGGAGAAACATTATGGTATAATCACACGATGGAATGTTCTGCAGCAGTTTAAATGAAGGAATTAGAGTTGTGGGTATTAACGTGGATATATCTCAAAAACATAAGGGTGAGAGAAAAAAAGCATGTTGCAGAGTATGATATCTTTTAATATAAATAGTATATAACAATATACAATCAATATAAATATAAAAATAGACAATGGCATATATTGTTATGCATACATAGTGTGAGAATTGCCTATGCCAGTGGTTGCCTCTAGACAGGGCATAAGAGGAATGGAATTGGCAGGGGAGGAGGGTGAGCAGGAGGCTTTAATTGTATCTTTTAAATTTAATTTCTTTTAAAAAATATATAAACAAATGTAGCAAAATGCTAATATTTTATAAAGTTGGGTGATGAATATACAGTATTTATTATATCATTCTATTATACTTTTTGGTAAACTTGAAGCATTTTCCTTTAAAAATTCCTATTAGAGTCATCTCCCTGCTAAAATCACTAATCTGTGAGGGAGGGGTAGATGGATCCAGAAAGTCTCAGTGATAGTGTTGTCACCAGGAGAGAGTAGGTTTCCTGTGAGGGTGGTGGATACCTCTTGAAAAGACAGTTGGACCCAAACAAGAGGAAAGGAAGGGATCAGCCCTGGGAGTGGGTGTCCTTAGGACCAGGAGTGTTAGAGGCTGGTTGGGCCCAGGGGAGCCTCTGGCATGACGAAGATACACTCCTCACAGGAGGTGAAGAGCTGGAGGTGGTGGAGAGAGGCTGTACGCACCCAGAGAAGACCAACAGGACCATGAGCTATCGAATAGGCATGCAGATCATCACCCTCACAGAGACCGTGTGTGGGTCAGACTTGTGCAACCGGCCCATCCGTGGTGAGTAGGGCAGCCCTCGCCACGCCCAACCCCAAACCATCCCCAACTCAACCTCATCGTCATCCCTATCTTATCCCCAATCCTATACCATGCCAACCCCAACTCCATGCCTTACCCCAGTACCAACCCCAACTCAAACTCTTCCTTATCCCAAACACATCTCCAGCCCGGCCCCATTCTCATCCCCAACCCCAGCTCAACCTCACCTTCAGTCCTATCCCCAACTTGATTTTACCCCCAGCACCCTCCAACTCAAGCCCATCCTTGTTCCAAACACGTCTCTAACCCATCCCCAAATCAGCCCCATCTTATCTCAGACTATCCCCAATCCCACCGCCAACTACAAACTCATCCCCATCCCTAACCCTATCCCATCCCATATGTGTGTTTGTTTTTATGGTTGTTATGTATAAGATGCAACACCTGCCATTTAGAATCTACACACATATACACCTGCTCGAGAAGTAGGTGAGGTATCTCATTGATGTTTTGCCATCTCATGTTTTCCATGGGACAGGAGATGGTTCAGGCGGTAGATGGTAAGGGACTGAGATACAGAGACCAGAGATACCAGAGACTCAATGTTCTTAAGGGAAGTCAAAAGAGGAGGGGATCAGACAGGCTGAAATGGGCTCAGAAAGTTCTCTAGAATAGATGGTCCTTAGGAAATGTTAGGAAATGGAAAAGAGTGTGAAGAAACTTCCATAAGCCCTTTTGTTGAGTTTCATAGCTTTAGGCTCTGGTCATTTTAAGAAAAAGACTTAGAAAGGCTCCAGTTCCCTGAGTTCCCCCTAGAAGAGGAAGGGTGGGGAAGGAATGAACCCATGTTGCATGGTCAGGCAGAGATTCCTCTTTCTGTTGAGGAAGGAAATTGGGTCAGGCCACTGTAGTCACCATGACGTCAGTAAGCAGAGCACCTGCGTTCACACTGGTTTTCTCTTGTTCTTCATCCACCCCGATTCTGCCGTTTTCATCTATCCTGACCTCAAACATTCATCTGTTGGTGGGAACTGAATCAGATGTTTATTTTCAAGGAAGTGACAAGAGAGAGGATGCTGGCTTCCTCTCTCTCAATTAGATGTGCTTGAGGAAAGCACTAATAAGTGAGTTTAAGTAATGCTTTTAATATGAGATAATATTCAAAATATTTAACAATATCAGTCAGTGCAGAAGGCACTGATCAATCAGAACAGACCTCTGGAGGCCCCCCTGCTGGGCCTGATATTACCCGTTTAGCTGATGGATCTTGGGGAAATGAGTGTTCTAAAGAGAGGGTTGGGAATGGTCAGGGGTCCACCAAGGAGTCAATTCAGTAATTTAATAACCGATATGCCTATATCAGCCCCATTTCTAATGCCATCTTACCCTGCTCACGGGGACTAGAACCGTGGATTAAACTACATCCTGTACTTACGTGATACTGGGACACGGCAGTGACCAGAACAGCCTTGGGCCCTGGCCCGAGGGAGCTCATAGTCCAGTGGGTGGGTGGCTGGGGGGACAGATCCATCACCAGACAGTCACTGCCCAGATCAGTCAGAGCCGAGATGGGGGAGCACAGGCAGAGAGTCAGGACCCCGATAGAAGAAACAGAGACCAGAGGGTTCAGAGCTGTGATGGAGAAGCCCAGTCCAGAAATGTCAGGGCTGAGATGGAGGAAACAGAGGCCAGAGTGATCAGGGCTGGGCCGAGTGAAGAGTGGGGCTGTGGGACCCTAGAGCAGACACTTGACTCAGATGCGAGCAGGTTTCCTACAGGAAGCAGCAGCTAAACTGGATCTTGAGGGATGAGTAGGAGTCAGACTTAAAAAGACAGTGGAAAGGGTTTTCCAGACAGAGGGAGCAACAGAAACAAAGGCCCAGAGGTGGGTGAAAGTAGTTCAGCTGGAGGAAGGAAAAAATGGGGCGAGAGGAGCTGGTGACATTGGCAGGGTCGTATTAGACAGGGCCTTCTAGCCTGTGGTAAGAAATATAGACTTCATCCGGGGAACAGTGGGAGGTCATGAGAGGGTTTTAAGCAGAGAGGGTCACAATCAGATTTGTATTTTTAGCAAATTGTTGTGACCTCAGAGTGGACGAGAGATTGGGGGGAAGCAAGAGTGGATGAAGGGAGACCAGCTTGGAGGTGAGTGAGGTTGTCCAGATGAAGAAGAGGACTAGAGGGTAAGCCCTGCAGATGGAGAGAAGTGGCTGGATTTAAGAGCTAGCTAGCAGGTAGATGAGCAGGACTTAGTGATGGATTAGATGTGGCGGGTGGGTTTGCAGTTCTGGTCATGATGGAGTTGCTTATATCAGAATAACGCCCCCTGCCAATGGCAGCCGTGAAAGCTGGACAAATTATAAACAATTATTTGAAGTTACTATAGAGAGCAGCAAACGAAGAGAAGAATTTGAGAGCTACAATCTTTGAAAGAAGGAAAGCTCAGGGAGTTGGGTCCCACAGACAAGCCGGCTTTTTTCTTGAGCGCACTTTCCAGTTCACTGCTGTGAAGAGGAAATAGAACTGAAGCAAAAAGAGATCATCGCTAGACCGGGAAGAGAGAAGGTGGAGTCTGGGGCTGCCCGAGTGTCTCGAAAATGAGAGGTGAAATCCTGGAATGCAGGGAACCACGGCATGGGAATCCCCAGATCTGCAAATTTCCTTCAAGTCATTGGCAAGCTGTACGTGCACAGGGTGTGACTCCAAGAAACTCAGCAGAACATAGTATCTGGGAAGCTACAGAATTGAGCAAGGATTCCAGCAGGCATGTGATGGTGGGGAGGCTGAAGTTGCCAAGTTGGAGAGAGGCCTTGGACCACCTCAAGTTACCTCTGAGACCACACCCGAGGAGTAAGGGCAAAATTGAAATAGACTAGCCTGAAAAATGCCTACATCTCATCTTAGACGGGAAGAAAAACCAACCCTCTGTGGAAGAAATAACATCATTTAGAACCTTTACAAATTTTCATCTATACTGTCTGGCATCTAATCAAAATTTACAAGGTACCCTGAAGAAAATGAAAAGGATCAATTGACTGGAAGCCAAGAGAAAAATCTAACAATAGAAACAAACTCGTAATGATTCAGATATTGGGATCATTAGACAGGGAACTTGAAAATAGCTATGATTAATATATTCAAGAAAGTAGAGGAAAGGCTAAGTTTTAGCAGAGATCTGGAATCCATCTTTTAAGTGAGTCAGACAGGAAATATAGTACAATGACTGAAATTCAGAACTCAACAGATGTGCTTACTAGAGATCGGAAACAGCAGAGCAAAAGGATTAAAGAACTAGAGACGGGGTAGTCGAAGTATCCAGATTGGTAACTAGATGTGGAGGATCAAGGTGTCTGCCAGGTTTCTGCCCTAGAGGACTGGCTGGGGCCATCTCTGAGATGTGGAATTCAGGAGAAGGAGCAGGTCTGGGGAGAAGATGGAGAGTTTCATTTGGGGCATGTAGAGATTCAGGTGTTTGAGGGATAGCCAAGGGGCTTCCACGAGGCGGTTGGGTGTAGAGGTATGGAGCTCAGAGAGAAATCTCAGAGAGAGATTTGTGAGTGACCAGCATATAGGTGGAAGTGAAGCCATGTCAATGGATAACATCTCCATGGGACAGAGTGGGTACCGTGAGAAATGAAAAGGGCCTAAGACAGAAACCTCAGGATCACCCACATTTAGAAGAGCGACAGAGGAAGAAGAGTTCACAAAGGAGACCCATGGATGGTAAGAGACAGCTATTTTGGCAGTGATGGCAATTCATGTTTTCATTTTCATGGAAGTTCATGCCAGAAGACATGGGTTGTTGGCCTTTTTGTCATTTTTCTTTGTGGGGAAGGATTTGGCTTTTGATGTAATATGATTCACCTAATTACAGCTACTGGCCTGCCAGTTGAGGGCCTTGGCTGAGACAGCCCTCTTGCTTCTCTAAGACTTGGCCCAAACTCAACTCAGATATCTGGGGTCAGGAACGAGAGGGCATGCCAGGCCTGGGCATGGTGTGAGCCAAGGCCTGGGCACAGCAGTGACTGGTGAATCCAGGGAAAAGTAACTACTCCACTTGGCCTGGACCAGAAGGTCCATGTGAGAAGCAAAGTTATCACAGAGCAATCAAGTGAGGCTTTGATCCCTGACACAATTGAGTAGTGTATTGATTATCTATTGCTGCATTACAAAGTGCCCCAAAACTTAAAACAAAAATAAGCATGTGTTACTTTATGAAGTTTCTGAAGGTAAAGACTCCAGGAGTGGCTTAGGTAGGTGGTTCTGGATCTTTCTAGAGGTGAGGTTGCATCAAGATGACAGCTGGGCTGCAGTCATCTGAAAGCTCCCAAGATAGCTTCACTCACACGGGTGTTCCACTCCATGGCTTTGGCAAAGGCCTCAGTTCCTTGCCATACAGACCTCACCATGGGGCTGCTTGAGTGTCCTTGCAACATGGCAGCTGGCTTCCCCAAGAGCAAGTGATGCAAGAGAGAGCCAGGAAGAAGTTGCAATGTCTTTTATGATCTAGCATAGAAGTCACACACCAGTATTTCCACAATACCCTATTGGTTACCCAGGTCAACCCTATGCTTTATGGGAAGGGACCTCACAAGGGCCTGAATACCAGGAAGCAGGGATCATTGGGGGCCGTCTTGGAGATTGGCTACCACAGGGAACAATAGAAAGGTTTTATCTAATTTTTCATTCATTCATTCATTCAATTAATAAATATTGATTGAATATTCTCTCTGGCCCTGGCCCTGTGCTGGGTGGTGCTGGGACACAGTAGTGACCAAGACAGCCCTGGCCCTACCCTCCTGGGGCTCAGAGTCCAGTGAGGGAAAAAGACCTGTCACCAGACAGGGACAACCCGGAGCGGGCATGGCTGGGATTGGGGAGCCCAGAGGGGCACCTGATCCAGCCCGAGAGGTCAGGGAGGGCTTCTTGGAGGAGGTGAAATTGGAGAAGATGATGCCTAAAGAATGAGTAGGAGATAGGGAAAGTAGGAGCAAGGGAATGTGTTCTAGGCAAAGGCAACAGCATGTGTAGGTCTGGGTGCCAGTCAGCATGTATATGCGAGGACTGTGGGAAGTCATGTGAAGAAGAGTCTGAGGGGCTGGTGGAGGGAGATGAGGGAGGAGAGGTGACCAGGACCCAGTCTTTGATGGGCCTTCAATGCCATGCTGAGGATCTTGGATTTTGTTCTGAGGGCAATGGGGAGTCATGGAGGGGTTTTGAACAGAGGAGAGGCAGGGTCAGATTTGAGTATTAGAAGCATCCTTCTGTGGCCATATGGGGATGCCCTGGGGGTGGGGGGTGGGGCAAGAATGGAAACTGGGAGGCCAAGGAGGAAGCTGATATTGAAGGAGGTCTCAGCTGGACTTGGTCATGGAGCTGGAAAGGCCAAGATGGATTCCAGAAAGATCCAGAATGGCCAGGGCTTGATGGTTGGCTGAAGGGTGGGATAAGGAGGAATTGATGCTGAGTTGAGTCCTCAAGGGAGCTGGACTCTCCCCATGGAGTCTCACCTTCCTGCCTCTCCCCAAACAGGCCAGCCTCGACCCTTTCCCCGAAGCCGTTTCCTCGAATGCACTTCCTGCGCCTCATCAGACCTGAGCTGTGAGAGAGGCTGGGAGCAGAGCCTGCAATGCCGCAACCCTGGAGAACGGTGCATGGAAGTGGTCACGCACCGGAACCTGGAAGGTGAGCCCCAACCTGCCAGGAACTCCTCCTCCCTGCTTTGCTTCTCCCCAAGGCTGCACTTAACAATGACCTTAACAAAATAACAGTGATTTAAGCAAGGTAGAAAGTTAGTTCTCACACACACAAAAAATTCAGTGATAGGAAGTCCAGGGTCACTAGGACAGTTCCACAGTCACTAGAAACCCAGATGCCTTCTCATTTCTTCTATTCTCAAGATAGCCTCATAGTCCAAGATAGCTGCCAGAGCTCCAGGCCTTATGTCCAAGTTCCAGGAAGGAGGAAGGGGAAAGATGGGGCAAAAAAGGGGTACCCCTCCTTTTGTAAGCGTTCTCCTTTCTGGAAGTCCCATAAAACCTTACTACTTACATCACATTGGCCAGAATTTAGCCACATGACTATCCCTACAGAAGCTGAAAAATGTGAAATGTGTCTTTTGGCTAGATATATGGCTGCCCCAAATAAAGTGAGGGTCCTATAATGAAGGATGAAGCAGAGAATGGTCAGAAGACTGCTGTGGTAGGCAAACCTAGTCTCAGCCCCTCATCAACAATCTGACCTCTCTCCTCTGCCCCCCCCACCCCCAACCCCCAACAGTAAGTCCAAGGGATGAGCGCTACATTCGTGGCTGCGGCAACCTTCCTGGCTGCCCAGGCCCCACCGGCTTCCACAACAACGACACTTTCCACTTCCTGCGGTGCTGCAACACCACCAAATGCAATGGGGGCCCAGGTAAGGGGCTGGAGACCCGGTGTGAGGCCTGGGATCTGGGCGGGGAGGTGCACTTATGCTGACCGCTACTGGCTCGCAGGCAAACCCCTCCTCTCTAAGTTTCTGTTTCTTCGTCTGAAAAATGGTCGCATCAATCCCTTCCTCACAGAAGGATTTTTGTGGGAATTCAATGAGACTATCAAACTGTTAACTTGAAAAGCCTCAAAACGAGTTTATTCAGGAATAGCCAAAAGAATTGCAATTCAGTTATGCGCCTGCTACCGCTAAACCATAGGCAAATTCAGCAAAGGAGGGGAGCTGTTTTTATAGAGAAAGAGGGGGAGTAGGGAGGGGCTGCTCTAAAGGAGAGTCCATTGGGGGAAAGTAACAAGGGCGGCAACAGCTTCTCATTGGCTGAACTGAGACATTTCTCATTGGCTGGGCTGTTGCCAGGTGGGGAGAGAAATCTTCCTTCAGTAGTAAAGTAGTTTTACCTCCCATCCAAGACGCAAGCCTGTGTTTCTTCCTGTTTGGTGTAACTGATGACGTATGATATAGCATGAGAGCTCCCCCTACAGGCCTTCCTGACTCCAATTTAGTTAAGGTTTCTTTTCTTAATTTCCACAAAATCTTCACCAAGACCCGGGTTTCATGCTGCCTACATCCTCTTGAACCCTTCCACTGCTCGCACCTCCTCTGCTGCCACGCTGGTCCATGCCACCATGACCTCTCACCTAGATTGTTGAAATCATCTCCTGGATGGTCCGCTGCCTCCACTCCTGCCACCCTAAGGCCAGTGTTGACCAGAGCAGCAAGAGTGGTTTTTTAAAAATGTAAATCAGATCATGTCACCCTCCTTCCTTAGGCACTTCAACAACTTCCCCTTGCTCTTGGAATAAAACCCAAAGACCATACTATGCCCTGTGTAATCCAGCACCTGTCTGCCTCACGGTCTTCATTTAGTTTCTGCAACTGCCAAACTCTGTTCTGCCTCATGGCCTTTGCACAGCAGTGCCCTCCACCAGGAAGGCGTCTGCCCCAAGAGTTCACCCAGCTGGCTACTTCTCATTCCTTAGGGCTCAGCTTTAAAATATCATTCTCAAGGAAACTTTCTCTGTCCCTCCTCTCCAACAGAATCTAGATCCTTCGTGTTATTCTGTCTCTATAAACCAGTACTGTCCAACAGAAATTTCCACAGTGATGAAAATGTTCTGTATCTGTCCTGTCCAATATGGTAGCCACTGCCCCATATGGCTATTGAGCCCTTGAAATGTGAACTGAATTTTGAATTTTATTTAATATTATTTAATTTCAATGTAAATGTAAACAACCACATGTGGCTTAGTGGCTACCATATGGGACAGCACAGCTTTAAATTCTAAGTTCTCTGAGGGCAGGGACTGTTTCGTCTTACACAGCTGCTTACCCAGTGCTTGGTCAGATAGGGGCTCAGGGGGAGCGGGGGGTTGGGATTTCTCTCACAGGCCCCAGAGACCCGCCAAAAGAGAGTGTCATTCCAATGCTGACCACAAGGTGGCGCCATGACATCTCAGGCTGAGAGTTGGGAGTGCGGGGGAGGTAATGCAAGGACGGAGGACACTCTTTCACCCTCTTACCCACACCCTCGTGCTCCTTTCCTTGGTTTCTTGTCTTCTCCCAAGTCCTGGAGCTTCAAAACCTGCCACTCAATGGCCTCCAGTGTTACAGCTGTGAGGGGAACAGCACGTATGGATGTTCCTTTGAAGAGACTTCCCTCATCGCCTGCCGAGGCCCCATGAATCAATGTCTGGAAGCCACAGGCACTAAAGGTGAGGCCCTTCAGGAGGCTAGGAGAGGTGCTTATGGGAGGGTGGGGTTTGCAAGAGGTTGACTTCTAGCTAAGCTGGACTTCCTTCAGGAGGGTGCAAAGTGTACTAAGGAATTAGGACTCGTTCCTTAGGAAATGGATATTTTGGCAACAGAAATGTAGACTTGGGGGTGGGACTTCCCATAGGTGGGTGGGACCTCCCGTGGACATTGCTAGTTTCTATCCTGAGACGTCCTGGGAAGGGTTCTCAAATCTTTTGGTCTCAGAATTCCTTCATGCTCTTAAAAGTTACTGTTTATGTCAGTTATATCTACAGATATTTACTGCATTCAAAATTAAAACTGAGAAATTTTAAAAGATGTATTTATGAATTCATTTTAAAATAACAATTAAAAACTTATTACATGTGAACATATTTTTACGAAAAAAAAAATGACCTTTTCCAAAATGAAAAACTTTAAATGAGAAGACTGGCATTGTTCTACAATTCTGAAAATCTCTTTACTGTCTGGTTTGATAGAAGACAGCTGGATGCTCATATGTGCTTCTGCAGCCAGTTTGTTCCAAGATCACTTGTCCTGGGGTTTCTGGAAAACTCCGTTGTATGCTTATGAGAGCGAAAAAGCCTAATGATATTTCAGCATTATTGTGAGAATAATTTTGACTTCGCAGATCCCCTGGAAGGGTCTGAGGGACCTCCAGGGGTCCCTGGACCACACTGAGAACTGCTACTTTTTCCAGGTGGCATCCATCACAAGGTGGCACGTCACCCAGTGAGAATTCTAGGTCCAGGCCCCAGGGTGTGGAGTCTCATACAGTTTTCTCTCTCCTCAGACCTGGGGAACACAACCTACACAGTACGAGGCTGTGCAACCCCCTCATGGTGCCAAGGCCTCCACGTGGCTGAGGCCTTCGGCCTGACCCATCTCAACATCTCATGCCTTACTGGAAATGGCTCTAACTACATGTTGGAGGATGTCCAGCCCCGCATGGGGGGCGCCCCCCGGCCTAGCCCTGCCCACCTCAGCCTCACCGTCATCCTGCTTACAACTGCCAGACTTTGGGGAGGCACTCTCCTCTGGACCTGAACCCCACACTCCCCCTGCCCTGGCTGGATCCAGGGGCCCCGTATGCCCTTTCCTCAGCTCCTAGCCCTGCAGACTTGCTGTGTGACCTCAGGCCAGTGTGCTGCCCTCTCTGGGCCTCAGTTTTCCCAGCTGTCAAAACACCTATCTTGCAGAGTTGTGAGAACCAGAGGAGAAAAGTTGGAGAAAGGCTGCAGGCCAGCGGGAGAGCTCTTATTATTATTATTGTCGCTGTTGTTATTATTAATATTTGAATATTTGTTTTATTTAATATTTTATATTCAAATAAAGAATTTTCTACCACTGAACAAGGCCAGATCTGCCCTCCTCCATAGCGTCTGTCTTTGGGAGGGTGAACTGGGGCACCTTTCCGCAGGCTTCTGGAATTAGGGGTCACATTGTAGGAGCCAGGCATTTGAGGCCCCAGCCTTGGGAGCAGTCCAAAATGGGCTTCCACCCTAAGCTGCCTCCACATCTTTCTGGGCTCCTAATGCAACCTTCTAACGTGCTCACCCAAGCATAAACTTTCCAATCTCTTCTCCCAAACTCCAAAGGTCAAGACTACTTTGTTGTTCTAAGGAGGCAGGTCTGCATTTCCTGGGGACTCTGAGACTGGAGATGAATAGAAGAGATAACACCATGGCCAGAACTCCCATGATGCACTGCAGTGAGGAATAAGGACAGGACTACATTTCCCCTGATGCTCTGGGGCAGGACATAAAGGCTGGGCTATATTCTCTAGGATGTCCTCAGACTGATTCAGGAAAAGACAGAACTACCATTTCAATGGCACTCTTGGAGCACAATACTGAAGAATTCCTATTTCCTGTGGTTTGCTGAGGCAAACTCATAGAGACAAAATTTCACTCCCCTTGGGGCCCTATGGTTCATGAAGAAAAAGATAGGACATCTTCCATGGTATTTGAGGGTAGGTGAGGGACAGGGTTTCTTTTTAGGACCTCCTCAAGTCACATATCACCAACTGTCATTGTGGTGGCTTAAAGAGGTGGGGTCGGTATCCACCTCTTGAACATGAGTGGCTCTGTGACTTCTCTGACCAATAGAACATGGTGGAAGTTATGCCAGGCCAGATCCTGGACCCAGGCTTTTATAATTTTTATTTATTTATTTTTTCCCCCAAAGCCCCGGTAGATAGTTGTATGTCATAGCTGCACATCCTCCTAGTTGCTGTATGTGGGATGCGGCCTCAGCATGGCCGGAGAAGTGGTGTGTCGGTGCGCGCCCGGGATCCGAACCCGGGCCGCCAGCAGCAGAGCGCGTGCACTTAACCGCTAAGCCACGGGGCAGGCCCCTGGACCCAGGCTTTTAGAAGCTGTCTGGCTCTGAGGAAGCCAGCTGCCATGTAAAAGTCCTCCTGTACTGAGACTGCCATGCTCTGAGGTCACCCAAACTACTCATGCACGGATGCCATATGGAGAGAGAGCCCCGGATGTTCCAGCCACCTCAGCCCAGGTGCCAGACAAGTGGGATCCACCCTGGACATCGTAAGCCCAGCAGGTATAACATGCAGGAGAACCGGGAAAGCCAGCTCTTTTCCTTTCCGAGGGCTGCCATAATAAATTACTACAAACTTACAAACTAGGGGGCTTCAAACAACAAAAATTTATTCTCTCAGAGTTCTGGATGCTACAAGTCCGAAATGTCTCTGAGGAAGAATCCTTCCTGGCCTCTTCCTGGCTTCCGGGGGTTGCCGACAATCCTTGGTGTTCCTTGGCTTGAGGCTGCGTCACTCCCATCTCTGCCTCTGTTGCTGCATGGCCTTCTTCTCTGTGACTGTGGCTGTGCGTCTCCGAATCTCTCTCTCTTGTTAGAAGGACACAGTCATTGGATTTAGGGGCCCACCCTAATCCAGTATGACCTCAACTTAATCACATCTGCAAAGACCCTATTTCCCAATAAGCTCACATTCATGGATCCTGGGGGTTAGGACTTCACCATATATTTTGAGGGGACACAATTCACCCACAACACCAGCCAACAGTCAGAACCAAGGTTTCAGATATATGGCCCCAGATGAACCATCCCATCCTTCTCCAGCTGTTCAAGCCAGCCCGTTCTGGCCCCAGTCCATTGTGGATCAAATACACGCTGATCCCACTGTGTCTTGCTCAACTTCCTGACGCACAGAATCATAAGATAAAAAGGCTGAGGTTTTATATCACTGAGTTTTGGGGTATTTTGTTATGCTGCAATGGTTAACAGGAACAGTCGTTGTCTTTTTGCTAACTCTCCCCCCTATAATCTCCATAAAGGGCAAGGTCTTTTCTTTGCTCACTACTGTATTCTCAGGACCTAGAATAGTCCTGGGACACGGCAGGTGATGAAGAAGGAAGGAAGGGAGGGAGGGAGGGAGGGAGGGAGGGAGGGAGGAAGGAAGGAAGGAAGGAAGGAAGGAAGGAAGGAAGGAAGGAAGGAAAAAAAGACCATGATGCTCTACAGCACAGATTGGAGGCTGGGAATACATTTCCCATGATGCCTCACAGGCTCTACAGCACAGATTGGAGGCTGGGAATACATTTCCCATGATGCCTCACAGCAGGAATTGAGGCTAGGACTGCATCTCCCATGAGATTCTATGGCAGAGATGGGAGGCTAGGATTACATCTTCCATGATGCCATACAGTGCAGACCAGAGGAGAGAAATACACGTCCCATGATGCCCTACAGCAGAAATTGAGGCTAGGGATAAATTTCTCATAATGTTCTACACCAGAGCTTGTGATCAGGACCTCATCATTAATAGCTCCCAAGTTTTTGTTCAGGGATCTTGGTTGCAATTGGTTGCAAGAAATAAAATCTGTTTCAGCTGACTTAAGCAAAAATGACAACGTGATTGGAAGTTTAGAATCCAAGCAAGAGCTAGGTCTCTGGGCCTCACTGGGGACAAGAAACAGAATTGAAAAGCTGTATGAAATCAAGGTTGTCTCCCTTTTGCAAAATCTCTCTCTCTCTCTCTCTCTCTCTGAATGTGTGGTTTCCCTCGTGGGCTTCCACTTTATTTCTCTGTCTCTCCACAAACTCCCTTCTTCTGCTTTACACATAGTAGCCAAATCTACCTTTGAAATATCAAGTACCAAGAACTACTTGTGTCCTGGTTCTAGAATTTTAACAGACAGGCTCTGATGGGGTCCAGTTTGGGTCAGAGCTCTGCCTATGACCCCCTCTGCTATAGCCAGGGAAGTTCACGTCAAAGCCACCGCATACAGTTGTTCAGGTTGTAAACAGGAGGAATCCACTGCTCCTGAAGTTCTCATGGTATGCAGCCCACTCAGCCAGAGCTGGGACAACAACATCTATGAGAGAGATCCCACCACATGATGGGGGAGCAACTGAAAGACAAAACTATCCCTTAGAATGTTTTAATCTGCAAGCAGCGCTGCCTCCATGTATTCTATGTGAATCACAAGCAATATGGTGGCCAGGGCTGTATGTAACAGGGCACCCAACTCAAAATGGTTGAAACAAAGAGGAAATTGATTATCTCACAGAACAAGAGATCATGAGTTAGGGCAGTTGCTGGGTTGACTAATTCAATGTTTCCACTATGTCCTAAAGGATCCATTCAGGCTTGTCCACCTCATGGCCTCAAGATGGCCGCTGCAGTTCCAGACATCACACCCACATTCAGAGGCAATAACAAAGAGCCATCTCTTCTTGCGTCTCTTTTTTAAAACAAAGAAAGCTTATCCCAAAACTTCCAGGCTGACTTGCACTCACTTTTTATTCGCCAGACTTATTTCATACACCCATGCCTAGAGCAATCACAGGAAGAGGGCATGGAACCACAATATTTGGCAAAGTATATTCAGATTCCATTCTGGGGCTTCCCGCACATCATCCAGCTAATAAAGAAAAGTGGATGCCTGAACAAAATCAGGATTCTCTTAGGAAGGAACAAAGAGGGAGAGAATGTGTATTCGGGGGAAAAAAATACCCAATCTTCCTCCTGTATAGGGAAAATTCCAATTCTTCCATACTATATTTTTCTCCTGTGTGTCTCCTTTACTTTCACACTACTACCACACTCACAACATTTCTGGTCACCAAATGTGTGTGTGGAGGGGTTTCTCCACACCAAGCAATTCTCTGTGACACCGGCTGGGTGTTCTACAATTTCACTCAGTTCTGACCCCGGAGATAGACTCAAATTCCACAGGTTAAGGGCTCAGTCCCACAAGACACTCCCCACTTCAGATGACAATCGCAAGTCCAGGTTGTCACCCCTGCCTCTGACTGATTGACTATATAAATCAGAGGTTCCAGTGACCCCCTCTTCAGGTTCAATTAATTTGCTAGAGTGGCTCATAGAATTCAGGAAAACAGGCACTTACATTTACCAGTTTATTATAAAAGGATATGATAAAGAATACAGATGAACATCCAGATGGAAGAGACGCACAGGGCAAGGTGTGAGGGAAGGGGCTGGAGCTTCTATGCCTTCTCCGGGCACATCACTCTCCCAGCACCTGCACATGCTCACCAACCCAGAAGCTCCCCAGACCCCATAATATTGGGATTTTATGGAGGCTTCATCACACAGGCACGACCTATCATTAACTCCATTTCCAGCCCTTCTCCCTTCTCAAGAGAATGGGGGGCGGGGCTGAAAATTCCAAGCTTCTAATCACGTCTTGGCCTTTCTGGTAACCAGCTCTCATCCAGGAGCCATCCGGAGCCAACCCAGAGTCACCTCATTAGAACACAAGACACTCCTATCACCCAAGAAATTACAAGAGTTTCAGGAGCCCTGTGTCAGGAACTGGGGACAGAAACCAAATACACATTTCTATTATCTGTGAGAAGGATACCGAGAAAACAGCTAACAAAGTCTGCACCATCCCAAGACTTCAAAAACTCAAGAATGGTCAACTCGTGGTATGCAGCCCACCCTCTCCCCAAAATAACAGGCATAGCAGCTGTCTCCCCAATATCACATCTGTTTAAGAAAGCTGATTTCACCTCTGACCTGGGGGTGGGGGGAACCTGTGGCTCATGTCTAATTCAATCAGCACAGTCTCATCCCCTGGCCATTGAGATTGGTTCAGTGATAGGCAGGAGGCATCATCTGGACCAATGAGACAC